CTGGTCTCGGCGCAGGCGCCGGCGGTGATGCTGGCGTAGGCGCAGGCGTTGGTGTAGTGCTGGCGTCGGGTGCTGGCGTCGGCCCTAGCGTATGTGCCGGCGTTCGAGCTGGCGTCGGTGCTGACGTCGGTACTGATGTAGGCGCAGCCGTTGGAGCTGGCGCAGGCGCCGACGTTCGCAGGCAGCCTGAAGCAGGGTTTATTCGACCGCGGGTCGAATGCAGGTGTAGGCGCTGGCATTGGTGTCGGGTTAGGCGTCGGCGTTGGTGCTGGCGTCGGAGCTGGCGTCGGTGCTGGTGTAGGCGTTGGCGTCGGCGAAGGCATAGGCACAAGCATGGGTGCTGGTGTCGGTGCTGGCGTCTGCGCTGGCGTAGGTGTCGGCGGTGGTGCTGGCGTCGGAGCTGGACGTCGGAGCTGGGGAGTCGGAGCTGGGGAGTCGGAGCTGGGGATAGAAGTGGTGGGTAGCGCACTCGTTATCCCATGGGGTGGGATAAGTAGCTGGGAGCGGGGTTTATTCGACCGCGGGTCGAATGCAGGTGTAAGCGCTGGCACTGGTGTCGGGTTAGGCGTCGGCGTTGGTGTTGGCATCGGTGCTGGCGTCGGTGCTGGTGTAGGCGTTGGCGTCGTAGGCACAATTGTGGGTGCTGGCGTCGGTGCTGGCGTCTGCGCTGGCGTAAGCGCCGGTGGTAGTGCTGGCGTCGGAGCTGGACGACGGAGCTGGGGAGTCGGAGCTGGGGAAAGAAGTGGTGGGTGGCGCAATCGTTATCCCATGGGGCGGGACAAGACGCCTGGAGCAGGGTTTTTTTTTTTTAGTCGACCGCGGGTCGAATGCCGGTGTAGGCGCCGGCATTGGTGTCGGGTTAGGCGTCGGCGTTGGTGCTGGCGTCGGTGCTGGTGTAGGCGTGGGCGTCGGTGAAGGCATAGGCATCGGCGTGGTGCTGGTGTCGGTGCTGGCGTCTTCGCTGGCGTAGGCGCCCGCCGTGGGGCTGGCGACGGAGCTGGACGTCGGAGTCGGGCGTCGGAGTCGGGGAGTCGGAGCTGGAGATAGAAGTGGTGGGTGGCGCACTCGTTATCCCATTGGGTGGGATAGGACGCCTGGAGCAGGGTTTATTCGACCGCGGGCCGAATGCAAGTGGAGGCGCTGGCATTGGTGTCGGGTTAGGCGTCGGCGTTGGTGCTGGCGTCGTTGCTGGTGTAGACGTGGGCGTCGGTGAAGGCATAGGCACAAGCGTGGGTGCTGGTGTCGGTGCGGTCATGAAGCTGCGGCCCATCGACAGCCCGTCCCTCGCCCCCCCCAAAAAAACAACACAAAAAAAAAGTCAAGCCGCCCCCCCGGGTTTTTCCGAAGGGCTGGGGCGACCCGTCCTCCTCCTTCTCCTCCTCCTCCTTCTTCTTCTCTTTCTCCATCTTCTCCTCCTCCTCCTCTTTGTCCTCCTCCTCCTCCTCCTCTTTGTTCTCCTCCTCCTCCTCCTCCTCCTCCTCTTTGTCCTCCTCCTCCTCCTCCTCCTCCTCCTCCTCCTCCTCCTCCTCCTCCTCCTCGGGTCGCCTACGGCCCCGCGGGAAACCTTGCAACCCCCCCCCCGAGGGCGACGGGCCCAGCTGCCGAGGCGGACAGACTGCTCTCGCCTCCCTGGTGAGAACGCGCTCCGCCACCGACGCTCTGGTCCGAGGCGCTCAGGCGGCGCCCGCTCTGCCCAGCCCTGGGAGCAGCAGCTCCGTGAGCGAGAGCAGCTGCAGAGGACCAGCATACCACCCCTGCGATGTGCTTCGCGACGGG